AAAAAAAAATAACACAGAATTTAACAACTATAGGTCACTGTACGGCCTTCAATAATGAGTAAAACCCATACCGCATAGTCAGCTATAAAAGGCCCCAAAATGACTAATGTAAAATAATTCAAACGAGAAAACTAACAGCCTGATTTATGTACAAAATAATGAACGAAAAACAAATATGGTATACATCATAAAAAGACAACCACTGAATTACAGGCTCCTGACTTAGGACAGGCACATACAGAATATGGCGGGGTTAAACTAGTTTGAAGGCGCCAATCCCCCTTCCCCCTTAACCTGGGGCAGTAGTGTAACAGTACAACATAAGAACAAACTATAGAAATCAGTTGAAAAGGGCTTAAGTCATCAAATAGATACAAAGCAGAAATACATCTAACAAATACACAGAGTGGACGTGGCAGAGTACTTATACATCCAAACAACAAAAAGATAATAAGTACAGATCTGAGAGTACTCGCAATTACTGACAGCTAGTTCAAAGCCAATAGCAACTAATAAAAAAAACATGCATCTAAGACTAACATATCAACCTGTACACATCCAACATCCAATGGATTTAGTGTAAAGACGTCATTAACAGTCAGAGAAAAACACGACCTTGTGCAATGCCAAGATACAGGTATCGACAAATTGTAGAGCCATGAATGTGCATATGTATATAAAAATAATATTAGTTTGTATTAATACCAATAAAAACAATATTCAAAGATATAGTTATAGTGTTGAATTGGTAACCTTTTAGAATAATTTTAAAGGATCGATAAGTTTACCCGCATCGTATCTAAATTTCCGGGCTCGGTAAACAACTTGTCCGTAAAACTTAGGATGTGGTATCCCGTTTAAAATAAGTTTTATACAGGTACATCCAAACCAAATCTTTATATCTATGGAAGAATTTAGTAAAGGTTTTAAGTAATTTGTGGTAACGAAATCCCTGGCTTTATAATTAACAGTAATACAGTAACACATAGATTACGTTCATTGAAATCCAAAACGTCACAACAGACACGGGCATAGCGAACGAGTTGTGATGTATATAAACACCGTCCAAAAAAGGAAAATTAACAATAGGGATAGAAAAAATCATCCTGTTTGTCGTAAATTTTAGTGTAGAGTTTCCCGTGTAAAACATGGCCTTTTATGCTAGGGGAGCCAAAATGTGACGTATGCGATACAGTTTTGATCCTACGGTGATATTTTGACGACAATTTGCATACACGCTAGTTTTTACCAAGTCAATTCAATATGTAATAAAAATGTATCTTCATGTGCTACTGTTAGAGATAAGTGGGGTCGAAATTTTAGACACTTACTCAAAATTTCTGTTTCTTAGAATTTCTATCCTTTGGACAGACATACCTATCTTTTTTGTAATAAAAGATAAACGCAGGCGGATTTTTGTATATGAATTTGATTTGGAATATCTTCTTTACATAAGTATACTCTAAATTTATGTAACAATTCTTTGGAACTAATTAATTTTAATTGAATTTTTCATAATTTTAGAAAAAAAACGACATTTTGTAATGTATATTTATCTATTTAAGAAAAGAGTACATCGGTGATTTGTTCATAAAAATTGATACAAACGATCTTTTAAAAGATGTACTTTTCGACTGATTCTTACCATTAGCTTTCAAACTAGTACATAGATCCCTCTTTTTCAAAATGACATTTGGCTTAATTATGTTTGTGGATTATTTTTACCAAATTTTATGAACAAATCACCGACGAAATTTTTTTTATTTGGATGAATGTAGAGGAAAAAATGCTGCTTTTTTATAAAATCATGAAAATTTATGGTACGGGAGTTAGAATCCCCCTTTTTTTTTTAAAGATTAATGCTTTAGAATAGAGACATATGGCTGGGATAAAAAAATTACCTTCAAGCAAAATTAAGAGTATTTAAAGGATTATTTTTTATTCCATATAGATGCTTATTGGAATTTCCTAAAATGTGTGTTTTTTTTTTAATATTATGAAACAATTTGTAGTGAACACTATTAGTTATTTCTTATGTTCATGCTATTTAAAAAATAATCAATTTCTATTGTTACGAATAACAATGGACTTTGTTTGCGGGATGTAGAAGCAGGGGTTTCCAGAAACCCCGCTCGTCACACCCTGTGGTCAAAATCCATTGTTATTCGTAACAATAGATCTATTCAATTTACACTTGTTTCAGAAATAGAAACTATGAAGTACAACAATAGAAATGGGGTGTAAGTAAAGTTTTATGTTCTGATTGTTAACAACGTATTGACACGATAAGTATAAAATCGATGCATATGTCATTGTCCGTCAGTATCCGATCTTTTAAAGACCCTGAATCATATGTTACAGGCATTTTCTTAAATTAGGCATTTTGATAAATGGCCGAATAGGCATTTTGTTAAATGCCTGAACTCTTAGGCAATTTATAACAAGCCTAACCTTTTTACCTTTGTCTCAACACGCGATTCCAGTGTAGTTGACTACTGTAATTTACCATATGAGATGTTGGATTCATTTAACGCCTTTAACGTAACAAGAGCTACTACTATCATTCAAAGTCTTGGCGAACTAAGATACGATCTTCGTAAAATAGTACCTGATCATTCACTATTGACATGGAATATGTGCCTATATTTTTCAGTTATAGACCAAGTCAGTAAAAATGAAGACAAAAATCAAACTGTTATGAAAATCAAATATAATACTAAAAGTATACCGGAAGATTGGCTTCGTGAAGATGTGTATATACATAAATATTTAGTGCTACAGATATAGTTCGGACATATGCTCCTGAAACTATAAATATTACATGTATCAATTATATAACTGACTTAAAATTGCAGAGGATCTCCGTGACATTCTTGATGTTCATTTCAGGTGGAAATAGATTTATTAATGAAAACGGATTTATTTGACAGAACAATGATTTTATGCGAGGACTATGCTAAATGATTTTTTTCTGTTTTCTATATAAATGTAGCTTCAATTATCACATTTATGTGAGAAAGACACAGTGTTCATTGAATTTCGTTATTTGCATGGTGGCAAATAATGCATATCTGAGATATAGACAAGTTGTTCGTTTCATACATATTGCTTCATGAAATATACTTGTTGGCACTTTATAGACACACTTGTTTTAAGTACATAAACTTTTATGAATTTTCGAAAGTAAAAATATTAGTCGACAAATGTTTATAACAGCGCGCTTGTAAATAAGATTTAGTTTACAATTTTTTTTGTGCATTTTGAAATGATGAAAGTTGATAATGTCTTGCATACTGATACCGTAGTATCATATTGGGAGCGACGGGGTAATATGACCCGAAAATTGTTCGTTCAAATGTTATTATTGTTGATTTTATATCTTTTTATATTTCAGGATTTGTATTATCATTTTGATTCCTTTTCGATCTAAATCATTCACAAGTTACATGTATTTTGCGCTTAACTATAATCCTTTATTTTACATTAATTATTCAAGATTTATATCCGTCTTTATGTTAAAACATTGGGCAACAAAGATTAAAGATAATTTGACACTTAGTGATAACTGCCAAAAGCGACTCTTGACAAACTTAAGAAAAGAAACATGTTTTAATCTATGATCCCAGCTTTCGGCAAAACAGAAAGTTCTATTATTTGGTTACTTTTGATTGGTTCAATATCGAATGTCAATCAGACTTCGAATTTGTAATTTACATTTGTTTTTATGTTGTATTTTAGTTATGTTTCTGATATTATAGGATTAAACGCCTTTTTAAAGGAATTTATTGGTGTATAAACTTGACCAATTCACTCACAAACAAATAAAAGTCCGAAGGTTTTAGTGGTGGATGGGAGAAATACATATTACTATAAACTAATCATCCCTTGGGATGGGAAGCACTTTGAACTAAATTTCACAGGAATTAACATGTATTCATTCATATCCATTGATACCTTATGATGAGTATGTATATTGCATCTTGTTATACATATAAATAAGAAGATGTGGTATGAGTGCCAATGAGACAACTATCCATCCAAGTCACAATGTGTAATAAAAAGTAAACAATTATAGGTCAAAGTACGGCCGTCAACACGGAGCCTTGGCTCGCACCGAACAACAAGTAATAAAGGGCCCCCAAAAGACTAGTGTAAAACAATTCAAACAGGAAAACCAACGGTCTGATATGTATATATATGTGTCTGAGTGTTTCTAAGTAAAAATTAATTATAGCTTAAAGAAAAATTAGAACAAAATTAACAAGGCAAAATGCGTAGCAGTCGATGTCATCTGAATGTAAGAAATAACAAATAATTGTCAAGTTGAGTGCTTATGAGTATTTAAGTGCCAATCTGCTTAGGAATCAGGCAGTGGTGAAAACATGACAAACAAAAACCCACTCAATTTTACATTAATTTATGTTCAAAATGTATAATGGTGCACTTTCTTTTATTTTTCCTGTTCTGGTAATTCGAGATATAATTTGGTTGAAATGCATTAGAAATTAACAATTAAGGGGAGCTAACTCCATTATTTGCTATCATTCTAACCAAAATTTATCTAGAGATTTCTCGAATTACCAGACACACAGAAACAAAAGAATTACCATTTCTAACTCAGGATGAGGGTAACTTCAAAAAAGGATATTTAGGTTGTTGGTTTTTTTTTCGGCCATGTTTTAGTATAGTTGTTTTTTAATGTTAAATTTTTAAATTGAAATCTCTTGAAATCAGAAATAGATTGATTGAATGTTGTTTGCTTAACGTCCAGTGTTATAATAAAGATCTCTAGAGGTTCACTATTTTCAGTGGCTGAGTTTTGGGAACATTTTATTGTATGTAATATTTTAAGGCATTTTGTTTAATGCCTGTCAATTTGTTCTGTCATACACGTGTCATAATGGAAAATTCATGATAAAAAACAGTCAATTCAATGAATGCCTGAATCTTAAAGGCATTTTACAAAAGAGCTTTTAATCCTTTTATTTAAAAATTGCATGTAGCATATATAGCAAGCAAATGAATAAACAATAAATTGTAAATATGAAATTAGACAACATTTAAACGAATACAATATTTTAATTGAGAAATTGTTTCGCTTTTCTTACATGTCTTAAGCAAGAAATTATCGAGTCATTTTTTTCAATCTTGAATCTATCTAGTCATATGGCGCTTTCCACATAATGTATGTAAGTATTTTATACTATTGACCTATTCCTCGACATAAAAGTAACACTAAACTGATGACATGTTATTTCTAGAGAGTTCTTTCATGTGTCTCTATCTGTTACTAATATCATCACATAAGTAAATAAGGTTCAAACATCGAGATGTGTTCTCATGTGTTTCCTCATGCGGTATCCCTCATTAAACTCTTTCTTACAAACTTCACATTGATAAGGTTTTTCACCAGTGTGTGTTCTCATGTGTCTTTTCATATGCGTTTTTTGAGTAAACCTTTTATCACATACATCACATTCAAAAGGGGTTTCCCCAGTATGTGATCTCATGTGTATCTGTAAGGAAACTTTGTGAGCATATTCTTTGTTACACAAATCACATTTGTATGGTTTGTTACCAGTATGTGTTTTCATATGTGTAATATGTGAACTACTTGAACTAAACCTCTTATCGCATACATCACATTTATAAGGTTTATCACCAGTGTGTACCCTGATATGTTTTTGTAAGTCACTATCCGTACACCATCCTTTACCACACACATTACATCTGTACAGATATTTCCCATAATGCATATGTACGTGTGCCTGAAAGTAGTTCTTCTGGGTAAACCCTTTACCACAAACACTACATGTAAAAGCTTGAGCACCAGTATGATGTCTCTTGTGTAGATTTAAGCAAGAGGTTTGACTAAACCCTTTCCCACATATTTCACATCTATATGGCTTTTCACCAGTATGGGTTCTCATATGTATCTTTAATGTACCATCCTGACGAAAATTTTACCGCACACGTCACATTTAAAAGGTCTATCGCCGGTATGTGTTCTGTTATGAACTATTAAGTTTGACATCCAGCTGAATTCTTTATTACACACTTGACATTTATATGGTTTGTGACCAGTGTGTATTCTATAATGTTTCTTCACAGAGTAGGCATGTTGGAACGTCTTTCCACATACATCACATTTATAAGCTTTGTCGCTGTTGTGGGTTTTCTTGTGTTCTATTAAGTTTCCATTCCACCTAAAGTCTTTACCACATACGTCACAATTGTATGGTTTGATATCAGAATGTATTATTTTGTGTTGCTGTAAGGTATCTTTCCGTAAGAACAATTTACCGCATATATCACAACTATTTTGTTTGACAGCAGTATGGGTTTTCATGTGACTCTTTAATGAAGTATTCTGATGAAAACTCTTACCACAGACTTCACAGATATGGCGTTTTTCATTATCATGTAATGCTGAATGTTTCTTTAGGTCATTGTTCCTCTTAAATGACTTGTTACACACGTAACATTTATAAGGTTTTTCACTGGAATGCGTTTCCAAGTGTCGTTTCAAGTTGCCCTTGCATCTAAAATCCTTGTTACACAGTTCACATTTGTAAGGCATTTGATCAGTATGTATCTGCTTGTGTCTTTTTAAGGAACTGCATGCACTGAAATCCTTATCACACACATCACATTTGTAAGGCCTGTCGCCAGTGTGTGTTCTCGTGTGCCTCTTTAAGTCACCGCTTCGGACAAAAACCTTTACACATACATCACATTTGAAGTTTTTTTCTGCCATAACAATTCTAAGGTTGAAATATTTAAACTGATCTGGTTTCAATATTAACGTATAAGCTATAATGTTAAATGTTTATATTCACTTGTTTGCGTGTATGTTTGACCAGAGACTGTGTATACACGCTGTGATACAAGGTAATGTTATAGTGTATAGGTTTATATTTACCAATGTTGACCTTAATCTTCGTGTATTAAAATGACTACTCAAGAGCGCGTTTAGACGATGGTGTTGATTTTGTTGGGGGAATCGATTTTTGCTGTTCCTTTAAATAGCTTTTAACGAACAGTTGAAAGACCACCTAATTATAAAGCAGTGCGTGATATTTTTCTATTAAACATGCTTTATTCGTTTTGCATACACAAAATAAAATCCTAATTAATCACTTATAAACACAAAGGTACATGAGTCAAGTAATGTTGAGATGACCCTCGAGGATGACCATGCAAAGAAAGTCAAAACGTATAGAAAGTTGGCATTTACAGTATATATAGAGGTAAATTTCAGATTCGTTGTAACTTACTCTTTCATTTATAATAATTTTTGTGAATTATAAAATTTTCTAAGTTTTTATTCTTTGGTTAAAGTCATAAGATCCCTTAACTTCAAACTCATAATTAATACTTAATCTATATTATCATCCGCAATGTTATTAGTATTTCACTGTTTATCTTACCATCTCCCACATTAAATTTGTACATATAGCTTATGATTATACATAGAGTGGACATAATCTCTGTAATCGAGTATACTGAAATAAATTTAAATGTAATATTTTCATTATAAAATCCATAATTCGATGTTTAATCACAGTGACTTACATTTGAAATCCAGTTTTAAATGAACTGCACCTTCAAAGTTGTGCTTACTGTAATTTTGAATTTTGATACACACAAAAATATGTATTTATCTTTAAAATCGTATAAGCTGTTGGTTAATGCATTGATACATCTATGGTTAATGCTATGTGCTGAAATAATTTTTTCAGGATAAGCTTTGAAAGAAAATTTATCTTGCAACATGCCACTAACGAACCACATGAAGAGTTAATACATGAGATCCTTAACGTGATGAAAGCGTTTGTATTATCCATACCTGTTATGACCCGACTTGATTGAGTATATATATTTCAACAATCTTAGGATTTTACAGCTGGATGACAATATTTCTATTCCCAAGTTAGTCATTTGTGAGAGCGATAAATTCAACATATATAATTATATTAGCAAGTTGAAGATTGATATCAATGTGTATTTAAATTTCTTTATGGTATATAATGCAAAGGAACTTAACGTTGTATGTTGTCTCCTCTACAATTAAAAAATATGATCAATAAGAGATAATAAAGAATAATCAATGTGTTGTAACATGATTTTTATCGGTGCATTACATTTGCGTGCATTTATTTTGGTTGCTGCCGCCATCACGAATATCTTAAAAAGAAAGGGATTTGTGACGGTTTTTGTCAACGAATTGTACAGCGATTATTTGTAAGAGATCAACACACTTGACACATTTGATGAAACGAACGATACAGAATAAGAACTTAGATGAACTTATTTAGTATGATTATCGTGTTTAGTCTGAGTTCTAGGGAATATTTGAAGGCACGTGTTAATTTTACGTGTAGTTATTTATAATTGCTTAAAGTATTGCTAAGCAGTTAATGCAACTTAAAGACAAGATATTGAATGTTGTCTACCTAATAAAACATAGAAAATCGCACCATTCCTGTGCGTTTTGCAGCTAGCAGTTTTATAAAATGCTCTATACAAAATTTAAAACTTGCCTTGCATGATCATTTCAGATATTGTTTATTTCAGTCAGGTTTAAAACAATTTAAAGTCATGGAATCGAAACTGTTTGTGCAGATTATTAATATATTTTGTTAAATTTCTACCTACTGGTATTTTAGATCATATTCTATCTTTAATCGTTTGTGCTAAGCATTTTACAAGCTTTTTAATTATGCTTAGTTTACGTTTTTTATTTGTTTTTGCTTTGATACATAGTGATCATGCATATAAATCTGCGTACTATTACCATGCTAAATTATAGTGCTTGTATGCTTGTTTGTATTGTATTGCTCTGCCTTGTTTGTCGGTAAAGAGCTCAATAGAGCTATATAACTTGAGCTTGTTTTGTCAACTTAACTACCTACTCTAAATAAAGCTTATCTATTTATTATCATTCACTTATTTGTAAGAAGAAGTGGTATGATTGCCAATGAGATAGTTTCCAAACCGTACGGCCTTCAACAATGAGTACGTGTACATATAATTGGTACAACATTTACCGTCAGGAAGCCTGAAGGGAAAATGTAAATGTAATATAAACTATAAAAGATTTACCATCAACAGTTAGTCTATATTGAGAAAAGGACCAAGGAACACAGCTAATGACAAACTTCCTGCCTTAGGACAGAAACATTGATATGACATTGATATTTTAAAGGTTTAAACTAGCGTTTTCAATGAAATACCGTACACTTGTTTACTGGCTATGAGATAAATAGCAGATTAATTGTCCCCTGAAACATCAACTTTTTCCCGCCAAATATAATAGACAAAAAGAATTCTTTTCCAGTAATATCTACCTGTGTTACAAGACAAAAGGGGAAGATTTTGTGTACTCTGTCAAATAAGACCAAATATGTCACAGACCTTTTGAAAATGTAGGGAACTATTTTCATGATTTTGTTCATATTTCTTTAAAAACAGTTGTCTTTCTTCGAACACTGAATCAGGCGTCAAAGTTAAAGTTTCACGCAAATTCTGACCATTTTTTTCGTGATTATTGCAAATGGGACGTTTCAATGAAACATTAAATTATGTGGGTTCTTCTTTTTATGCCAAAGTTTTAGATCAGATGGTGCTTCAAACTCCACAAAAATTAGAAATATATATGGAGTCAAGAGGGAGCGTAAATGGATCCACCTTGTATTTGTATTAGTAACCCAACACAATTAGAAGGCCAATCCTGCCCGAATTGTTAAGATGCATACTTTTGTATTAAATGAAGATACGATCCATGTAAGCTTATCGATCCTTTCAATAAACTTATTCTCAAATGTTATCAATTTAACATTGTAATCAGATCTTTGCATATCACTTCCATCGGTACTAACATTGATTTTCATGTCAATAAATAGACTATTTTCATACTACCGACTTTTGACTCCGGATTATATAATTTGTCGACTGGTTACCTTGAACATCATGGTACCAAGTCAGGTAAGAGCAAGCTAAAGAAATAAAACCAAGCATTCAATCGGTACAATTTTGGGGGAAAATTACCTGCTTAACTTTTTTTTTCACTACAAAATCATCGGAAAACAGTAAACTTTCCCCTCAAGTTACACCGATTATATGTTTGGTTACTTATTTTGGTTGCTCTTACTTGACCGAGTACCATGATGTCCAAGGTAACCAGTCGACAAATTATATTATCCGGAGTCAAAAGTCGGTAATATGAAAATAGTCTATTAAAACATAACAAAATATGTATTGCTATAGAGTTATTAACGCTTACGGTTCTACGTCCTGTCCATAATAATATTTTATGCATTGCAAAAGGTTATGTTTTCATAGACTGTTTATCACGTCTTTACACCAAACCCAGTCACGGTATGTGTACTTATTGATATTTAGTCTTGGATGCATTATGTTTTTATTAGTTGTGATTGGTTTGGATCAGGTTGGAAGGATTGGGCGCCCCTAAACATGTTTAACCTCGCCACATTCTGTAGATTTCTGTCCCGAGTCAGGAGCCTGTAATTCTCTGATTGTCGTGTGTTGCTGTATATCATATTTTTTTCGTTTGTTGTGTACATAAATAGCTGGTTTTCTACGGAAGCCCATTTAGGACCTCCAAAAAATATAATTTGAATTCGATATCACGATTTAAAATCGTTATCACGAATTGTAGAATTCTTTATCACACTCAGATTAAATTCGTTATCACGAATTTATGGAATTAGTTATAACAGTAATTGTCATTCGTAATAACGGATTACATTCGTTATCACAGTTTTTTTGTAATTCGTGATAAGGGATTAAAAACGTAATCACAGATTTTTGTAATTCGTGATAACGGTTTAGAATCGTTATAACAAATTGTATAATTCGTGATAACGGATTAAATTCGTTCTTACGAATATTTGTAATTTGTTATCACAGTTTTTTTTTGTAATTCGTGATTACTGATTAAAATCGTTATCACAGATTTTTGTAATTCGTGATTACGGTTAGGAATCGTTATATACTTCGTGATAACGGATTAAATTCGTAATAACTATTTCTGCGAATTCGCGATAACGAATTTAATCCGTTATAACTATTTATAAAAAAAATCATTATTATGATTTTAATCCGTTATCACGAATTACAAAAATTGTTTTAACGAATTTAATTCGTTATTACGAATTACAAAAACTGTTATAACTAATTCTGGAAATTCATTTTCACGAATTTAATCTGTTATATCGAATTCTTCAATTCGTGATAACGACTTAAATTCATTATTTCGAATTCAAATGTATATTTTTGGGAGGTCCTAAATGGGCTTCCGTAGTTTTCTAATGTGATGAATTGTTTTACACATTTTGTAATGGCAGGACTTTTTATAGCTTGCTATGCGGTATGGGTTTGTTTAATGCTGAAGGATGAACGGCGACCTATAGTTACTAACATCTACGTCATTTGGTCTCTGGTTGTTACTTTTCTCCTTATTTTATATACTATGTTTTCTTTTTATCTTTTTATATATGTGCTATTTATTTCATGTAACTTCCATTGTATTAACAAATGTTTATCAGATTTAAGATATAATTTTGCTTAAAAATTAATATAAAAAGTCAAAATTTTCTGTACTTTGCATACCTGACTAATTTGTGGCCAGTTTAAAATGTTTTCAAGGTGATCTGACCACAGTATGAATATTGTTCATTGATTTCTATTTGGGGTTTTTGAATCTTTTTGTTCAACCTACTTGCATAGTATGCTAAATAATGAAACAAGTCACTTTATTACATAACATTCATGCAAGATGGATGGGGTCAATGTACAATTAGTTGAAACTAACAAAGGAAAGAAATTGATGGATTTCCCTTTTATGTCAATATCACGCTGAAGAATGCTGATGCAGGTATATATTACGGAGATGCACCAATTTCAAGTGCAAAACTGCAGTATCTGAACTAAAATCAGCAGCAGTACAGTTATAAAGTTTAATCTTGACAACAACCAAAACGACTAGCGCAAACATGGACGACATGAAGTAAGAGTTTCTGTTTAGAGAAAGGATTCTGCAGATATATAATAACTACAAAGGTCTGTTTGCCACCAACCGTTTAACGATAAAAAATATAAAGATAACGCTGCCTTTGAATACTAAAAGTTAGTAGTCAATTAATCAATGCAAATAACAAATGTACTTTTGTCAACATAGTGAGAAAGAAGGAAAACGTAGTGTAAAAAAGAACAAAGTGAGACAATGTCACAGAGACAAAATCACCAAATCAACACATACAGCAGAGATCCCGTGTTCACTACATGATCTTCAATGCTTATTATTTTGATTATTTATTCATTTATAGGTCACCTGATGTGATATGTGACATGGACGTTACATCCGGATGAAAGTTAATGACGTCCCAAACAGTGCTAATATTTTAGCCAACTTTAAACTTCGAATGGTTTGTGTTGGAATGTCACTGATATATATTTATAGATGAAACTTCGTGGACACACATTAAAGCCGTGTATTCCGAGATATTTAATTTAATTCTTTATTTATTTAAAGAGGATTGCCAACAGCCAGAGGCTACGTGTGGGTCTCCTCAACATAGATATATACAGATTCACAATTAACAAAGATTTTTTTAGTTTACAAAGTTAACAATGTCATGTTTAACACAAGACAAGACAACATGTACAAGACAAGACAATATGTACAAGACGAGACATACGAATGTAATTTGACGACACACCCATCCAATCACTCGCTCGTTCTTACTCACATGCACACGACTTTACAAACATGTTGGATTCTTTAATATAGAATAATAATTGAAAAATTAATTATGGATAGACGATTTTGAGTACAATCAGGTCAAATGAAAGAAAAAAAATAATATTAGTGTATGTATGTGTTTCATACCTAATTAGTCCAAATAATTATGACGTCTTGCAAGGCTATTTTAATTTTTTTCTGTGACGCCTTCCTACAACGTCATAACGCTGAAGCCATTTTTTACGTCTGGACTTTGAGAGTGAATTTTGGGGGGAACTTTGAGACCGAATTTTGGCATGAAAGTCTTACCTTTTTTGTGCTTATTGATGCAAAATATTTCCAGAAATATCCAAAAGAAATGATAAAATAAGATACGATTCCATTTGAGGTGAGCAAATATTTACTTCAATTTCAAAATGGTTTCCCAGAATTTCCAAAATACGTCACTTCCGGAGGGTATAAAATATAACCGGACACGCAATATAACCGTTTGTTTCTAGATAGGCCTCTATAAAATCATGTGGACACTAATTAAATGCGTTTGTTCCGAGATAGGCTTCTATAGAATCATGTGGACACACATTAAAGCCGTGTGTTCCGAGATAGGCTTCTATAGAATCATGTGGACACACATTAAAGCCGTGTGTTCCGAGATAGGCCTCTATAGAATCACGTAGACACACATTATAACCGTTTGTTCTGACATAGGCCTGTATAAAATCATGTTGAAAAACATCATAGCCGTTTGTTCTGAGACTGGCAAACTTTCTTTCAAAATCTTTCATGCAGACTTTGAATGGCCAGTCAATTAATAGGCCTCTATAACATCATGTGGACACACATGAAAGCCGTTTGTTCCGAGATAGGCTTCTATAGAATCATGTGAACACACATTAAAACCGTTTGTTCCGACATAGGCATTTAAAAAATCATGTCGACACACATTAAAGCCGTTTGTTCCGAGATAGGCTTCTATAGAATCATGTGAACACACATTATAACCGTTTGTTTCGAGATAGGCCTCTGTAAAATCATGTGGACACTCATTATAACCGTTTGTTCCGAGATAGGCCTCTATAAAATTATGTGGACACACATAAAAGCCGTGTGTTCCGAGATAGGCCTCTATAGAATCATGTGGACACACATTATAACCGTTTGTTCCAAGATAGGCCTCTATAAAATTATGTGGGCACACAGTAAATCCGTGTGTTCCAGATAGGGCCCTAAAGAAACATGTGGACACACGTTATAACCGTTGGTTCCGAGATAAGCCTTTATAAAATCATATGGACACAGATATTTACTGTTTGTTCCGAGATAGGCTTCTGTAGAATCATATGCACACACATTATAACCGTTTGTTCCGAGATAGGCCTCTATAAAATCATGTTGACACACATTTAACCCGTGTGTTCCGACATAGGCCTCTATAAAATCATGTGGACACACATAATAACCGTTTGTTCAGAGATAGGCCTATATAAAATCATGTGGACACACATAATAACCGTGTGTTCCGAGATAGGTCTCTATGAAATAATATTGACACACATATTCACCGTTTGTTCCGAGATAGGCTTCTATAGAATCATGTGAACATACATCATAACCGTTTGTTCCAAGATGGGCCTCTATAAAATCATATGGACACACATTGTAACCGTTTGTTCCGAGATAGGCCTCTATAAAATCATGTGAACACACATTATAACCGTTTGTTCAGAGATAAGCCTCTATAGAATCATGTGGACACGCAATATAACCGTTTGTTTCTAGATAGGCCTCTATAAAATAATGTGGACACACATTAAATGCGTTTGTTCCGAGATAGGCTTCTAAAGAATCATGTGGACACACATTAAAGCCGTATCTTCCGAGATAGGCCTCTATAGAATCACGTGGACACACATTATAACCGTTTGTTCTGACAAAGGCCTCTTTAAAAATCATGTTGAAAAACATCATAGCCGTTTGTTCTGAGACTGGCAAACTTTCTTTCAAAATCTTTCATGCAGATTTTGAATGGCCAGTCAATAAATAGGCCTCTATAAAATCATGTGGACACACATGAAAGCCGTTTGTTCCGAGATAGGCTTCTATAGAATCATGTGAACACACATTATAACCGTTTGTTCCGACATAGGCATTTAAAAAATCATGTCGACACACATTAAAGCCGTTTGTTCCGAAATAGGCTTCTATAGAATCATGTGAACACACATTATAACCGTTTGTTTCGAGATAGGCCTCTGTAAAATCATGTGGACACTCATTATAACCGTTTGTTCCGAGATAGGCTACCATAAAATTATGTGGACACACATAAAAGCCGTGTGTTCCGAGATAGGCCTCTATAGAATCATGTGGACACACATTATAACCGTTTGTTCCAAGATAGGCCTCTATAAAACTATGTGGGCACACATTAAATCCGTGTGTTCCAGATAGGGCTCTAAAGAAACATGTGGACACACGTTATAACCGTTGGTTCCGAGATAAGCCTTTATAAAATCATATGGACACAGATATTTACCGTTTGTTCCGAGATAGGCTTCTATAGAATCATATGGACACACCACATTATAACCGTTTTTTTCATGATAGGCCTCTATAAAATCATGTGGACACACATTTTACCCGTGTGTTCCGACATAGGCATCTATAAAATCATGTGGACACACATTTTACCCGTGTGTTCCGACATAGGCATCTATAAAATCATGTGGACACACATAATAACCGTTTGCTCAGAGATAGGCCTATATAAAATCATGTGGACACACATAATAACCGTGTGTTCCGAGATAGGTCTCTATGAAAATATATTGACACACATATTCACCGTTTGTTCCGAGATAGGCTTCTATAGAATCATGTGAACACACATCATAACCGTTTGTTCAGAGATAATCCTCTATAGAATCATGTGGACACGCAATATAACCGTTTGTTTCTAGATAGGCCTCTATAAAATCATGTGGACACACATTAAAGCTGTGTGTTCCGAGATAGGCCTCTATAAAATCACGTAGACATACATTATTACCCTTTGTTCCGAGATAGGCCTCTATAAAATCATGTGGACACACATTGAAGCCATGTGTTCCGAGATAGGTCTATATATAATCATGTGGACACACATTATAACCGTTTGTTCTGAGATAGGCCTCTATAAAATCATGTGAACACACATTATAACTGTTTGTTCCGAGATAGACCTCTATAAAATAATTTGGACACACATTAAAGCCTTTTGTCCCGAGATAGGCTTCTATAGAATCATGTGTACACACATTACAACAGTTTGTTCCGAGATAGGTCTCTATATAATCATTTGGACACACATTAAAACCGTGTGTTCTGAGATAGGTCTCTATAAAATCATGTGGACACACAATATTACTGTTCGTTCCAAGATAGGCATCTATAAAATCATGTGGACACACATTAAAGCCGTGTGTTCTGAGATAGGCCTCTATTGAATCATGTGGACACACATTATAACCGTTTGTTCCTAGATAAGCCTCTATAAAATCGTTTGGACACACATTAAGGCCGTGTGTTCTGAGATAGGCATCTATAGAATCATGTGAACACACATTATAACCATTTGTTCTGAGATAGGTTTCTATAAAAGCATGTGGACACACGTTATTACCGTTTGTTCCGAGATAGTTTTCTTTAGAATCATGTAGACACACATTATTACCGTTTGTTCCGAGATAGGCCTCTATAGAATCATGTGGACACACATAATAACCGTTTTTTCCGAGATAGACCTCTTTAAAATCATGTGGACACACAATTAAGTTGTGTGTTCCGCAATAGGCCTCTAGAATCATATGGACACACATAATAACCGTTTGTTCAGAGATATGCCTCTATAAAATCATGTGGACACACATTAAACTAGTATTTTCTGAGAAAGTCCTGTATAGAATCATGTGGACACACGTTATAACCGTTTGTTCCAAGATAGGCCTCTATAAAGTCGTGTGGACACACATTAAGACTGCGTCTTCTGAGATAGGCATCTATAGAATCATGTGAACACACTTTATAACCGTTTGTTCAGAGATAGGTCTCTATAGAATCATGTGGACACACATTATAACCTTTTGTTCCGAGATAGTCCTCTATAGAATCATGTTGACACACATTATAACCGTTTGTTCCAAGAAAGGCCTCTATAGAATCATGTGGACACAGATTATAACCGTTTGTTCCGAGATAAGCCTCTATAAAATCATATGGACACATATTAAAGCCGTGTGTTCCGAGATAGGCCTCTATAGAATCATGTGGACACACAACATAACCGTTTGGTCCGAGATAGGCCTCTATAGAATTATGTTGACACACATTAAAGCCGTGTGTTTTGAGATAGGCCTCTACAAAATCATGTGGACACACATTATAACCGTTTGTTCCGAGATAGGCCTCTATAAAATCATTTGGAAAAACATCACAGCCGTTTTATCTGAGACTGGCAACCTTTCATTCAAAATCTTTCATGCAGAGTTGAATGGCCTGTCAATAAGTTTGTTAAAGCAATTGTTCCGAATGTAATGATTAAAGGATGTTGTTTATGCTTGTTACCAACCTGGTGGCGCAAAATACATCGCATTGGATAACGCGATGAACAATACAATACCCAATCTGATATCGGCAAATGATTGGCATATTATTTCAGCTTACCTTTTTAAGAGATAGTGAAGACCTTTGAAGAAGATGTGTTCAGTGTGACACCACAAGATAAGAGATGTGAGAAATTTACCGACTACGTCCTTCAGATGATTACACGTATAAGCAGTCGTATTATTTGGAAAAAAAACATTGTCAGAAAGCAGAAGAACCACTTATAGAGCTGATTCGTTTAATGCTCATTTCAATGGACAATTCTTCAATTGCCATCGAATCGTAATTTTTTTTATTGATGTAGTAGTAATTATCAAATAACATGCTACAACTTACATGAACATTCGGTTATTTGAAAACCATTATAATAATTGAAAAGAAAAAAACTTGTAATTTAATACCATAAATGGAAATCAGCTTACAGTTGATATCAGGCAGTATCACAAGATTAAAGGTTTGAAATTAAAGGTTGTAAGCTTGAAATTCAGGACCAGAACCAATATTTGAGAACAACCAAGAGGATATGCTTTTTTTGTATATTAAACTCAGCCATGTTTTCCTGAACGTTGGTCATTCTTGCTCAATATTCCATGTCAACATCCCGTGGTTAGTAACGACATTATCTGGCGAACAGAAGGGATACATAACACAAGAACATGTTATTATACATGTAATATTATTTATTGCATATCCAATATAAGAAGGGCATTAGGCACGGTTTAAATGAACACTGAAAGCACGATTACATTAATAAAAGCGGAATATTTAAATAATACTTCACTATTATCAGCCAGTATGGTTCTTTTTTTTTTATCACTGATATATAATTGTCTTGCAAGATAATAATTCGACCTCATTTGAGTCCGTATGCATGCAACCTTTAATTTGATAGTTGCAAACTGGTTGTGCATGTGCTCATTATGTTATTAAAAAACAAAATAAAATAATGTCAACATTAAAAAGTGTAACAAGGGAGAAACCAGGACCATTTCGTAGACGGACTCAGCCATAAAAAAATATTTCATATACAGGCAAAATGATGATTAACATACTTTTAGAATCTATGCTTTGAAATTTAAAAAAAGACCTATTTAATCGTCATTCTTCTAACTCACCTCATTGGACTGTTTATAATTATATTTTAAATTATGTTTTCATCGGCAGTCTTTGGAAGTCACATCGAAGGTTAATTAGATTGCGTAGGTTCTTAACTACGCATGCAATGTGATACTTTATTACGTTTAAATGAATTGCTTATTGTAAACTTAGGAACTTGTAATTCTGGTAGATACTTTGTATGTTATAAATCAAATTAAAGAGTTTTAGTCGATAAATAAGACCAAGCGTGCATTTCCAATATTTTTACACAGAAATCGTAAAATGTTGGCATAGGTTGAATGGTCTGATCTAAGATTGTTGGGACCAAACATCTCGCCAAATTAATTTAGAAAGAGGAAATACAAGCCTTAATATAATGATGTGCCTAACACAAAAACAGATTTCAGGTTGCACTTTGTAAATACAGCTGTTTCTCAAACCACGCCTCTTTTGGGGAGATTTAGAATATTCATAGAAAATTAATTTTGTTTACATACTGGTTCCCAGTTATGCTCTCTGTGTTCCATCTCATAGAGACATAACTTAGGAATGTTACCAGTAAATATACATGTGCATATTGTTTACATTGAAATCTGTGGTAACCCTTCATTCGAGGTAGGGGTAGTTAAGAAAATTAGTGTTAGTTTAAACTCTGAAAAGTTCAGGGCATATAAACGTTGAAAATATGCCGCACAGCCCTATATTTTGACCTTTGAAAAAAATTGTAGTGCATATGAACTTTCAATTCTAGGATAAGATTTTGTTCAAAACTTCATAGTAAAAGTGGTACAGTTTTAGCCGTAAAAGGAGTTCCTATGGGAAATTGCATTGTCAATATTTACAGAAATGCAACCTATATAGGGTGAAAAAAGAAAACATTCAGAATTTAACCAAATTTGCTTTATCTCACAGATTTTAAAGAAATTAACTCAAATATGAAGTTTTATAAATATTTCATGAAGATTGATAGAATCCTGGGCCTTAGATATGATGACTCAGCATAAATTCACAGTTTACAGTATGCATAGTTTACTTAAAGTCCTGAATACAAAATTAATTCATAATATTTGCATGTTTGTAAGTTAAATTGTTGAGAAGTGCTTATATTTACTCTTCGCAGTCATTGAAACTCATCGATCCTTCCTGAATATTATTTATGGGATGTTTGTGTCCTGTCATTAACCCAAAAGTAAGCCGTAACACCTAAATCTGCTTTTTTGTCACCACGGCATAAAAAATACAAGCTAGAAATACAAAAATATCTCAACAAAACTTAAATAGTGTGTTCTATCCTGAATATGTACTAAATATTCCAAATTGCTAGAAACAGCAGAATAATTTAGGAAATTTGAGGCCCCAGGGGCAAAAACAAGAGAAAATTGCCTACCCCCTGGGTCATAAAACAGATAATTTAACTTGTAAATGCTATGATTTTATGATTTTTAAGTTCTTGATATAGAAAACAATAACTATGCTTGGAAGTTATGCAAAAATTAGATGTTAGCAGTCATCTCTATAACATTTTAAGTGAATTTATATCTCAGACTGGTATCTGCATACATACAACTATTGCAAATATGGCTTTGTTTGAACACTTCTAGTATATTTATTAGGTAAATTGTGTCAGATATATGGTTACAGATGATACCGTTGTGACAAGAATTCTAAATTGACCATTTGAGGTAGAAAAATGTGAACTTTAATTGACAAATAGGCATACAGTAAGTTGTGGACTGGAGACAGAGGCAGGATTGGATATTTTATATAATCTTGAATGTTGTAATGATTGACTGCTAAACATAACATTTATAGTATTCTGATATGCTTTCAATATGTTATCAAAACAGTTTTAAACAGGTTTTAGGCATTTTATATCAGAAAATATGCAAATAGGGTAAGCTGGCAATAATTAAAGTCTTGTTTTCAAATTCTATTAAAAATTGAAACAGGGGAGGGGTATAAAATGTTCAGTAAAAAAAAACTTAGAGTATACACAGTGATTTCTTTCAGGCTATAATTCTGATAAATGAGTATTAATGTGAGAAAAACTGATTTTAGAGAGTTTTCTATTTGAATAAATGTTTGTATAGGTTGCACTTTATAAATACAGCTGTTTCTCAAACCACGCCTCTTTTGGGGAGATTTAGAATATTCATAGAAAATTAATTTTGTTTACATACTGGTTCCCAGTTATGCTCTCTGTGTTCCATCTCATAGAGACATAACTTGGGAATGTTACCAGTAAATATACATGTGCATATTGTTTACATTGAAATCTGTGGTAACCCTTCATTCGAGGTAGGGGTAGTTAAGAAAATTAGTGTTAGTTTAAACTCTGAAAAGTTCAGGGCATATAAACGTTGAAAATATGCCGCACAGCCCTATATTTTGACCTTTGAAAAAAATTGTAGTGCATATGAACTTTCAATTCTAGGATAAGATTTTGTTCAAAACTTCATAGTAAAAGTGGTACAGTTTTAGCCGTAAAAGGAGTTCCTATGGGAAATTGCATTGTCAATATTTACAGAAATGCAACCTTCAGAAGGTTTATTGTCAAATTCCAATCACTGAAAGAAGTATCTCCACATTGGGTTAATTCAAATGGTGAATATTTTCACCTAAGCAAACGAATTTTTACTTATCAAACAATAATAATTTGTTACAGCGACATAAATTATTGAAGTAAAACATTAACAGTAACACAGAGATATGAAAAGTATATGATAATAAAGCAGTTGTTGGCCACTCGAAAATTACCAATTTTGTAAGTGTAACCTTGATCATACATGTATCATATGAACATATCGAGGGCTGTACACTAGCTCCGCATGAATGTTCCAACTAACAAAATTGCTTCCCATCTTTTATCAAACTTTGTCTTGTTATGCTGTTTATTTGTTCTTGAAGAAACCCGAATTTACCGTAGGACAGATCCACTGCTCCAAAAACACAGATGAGAAGTACGTTAACTTCCTTAAACAGTGGTATTGCAATACTGATTTGACTCATCTCCCTGATCCCCAGTTCTAGACCATAATAGAATGATTTGAGAAACATATCGACTTGATTACTAGATAAGAGTGTTTCCTGACGGCTATGTGAACACCGACTTGATTACTAGATAAGAGTGTTTCCTGGCGGTTATGTGAACACTTTTTCTAAAATGTGAAGTAATCTAAGCTTCCAGTCAAGACAGACTGTTAGTCCAACTTTACAAGGACTACTTCAGCAGCAACAAAGATCACAAACACAACGACAGTTTGGAAAGAGTTTGAAATAACAACGACGAAATAATTATTTAACCTTCTACATTGAAATAGATGTATTTCCCTAAACATAAGTTTTTTTAAACTTTTATTGACATCAACATCAAGCCCTAATCTTGGTTGATATTACACGGCCACAAGTTTGTCGTATGGATCTTTACTACAATAAATTATCAAGTTTACTTTTGCAGCTATTCAGTGATTTTACCTTTTCTATTTTAACAAGGAATCACAAACATACATTCGCAGTTTGTCCTGTCCACACATTTACTAAAAGGTGAAATCGAATACGGGTACAACAGATCGGTTTAAACTTATCAGATCAGCCCATGACGGCCACAACAAATTCCCGAGCACTCCAGAATGTGGTTAAAAGTAAAATAAAAAAAATACCGAACTCCAAGGAAAATTCAAAACGGAAAGTCCCTTAATAAATGGAAAAAACAAAGCTCAAACTCATCAAACGAATGGAAAACAACTGTCATGTTCCTGACTTGGTACAGGCATTTTCATATGCAGAAAATGGTGGATTAAACCTGGTTTTATAGCTAGCTAAACCTCTCACTTGTATGACAGTCGCATAAAATTCCATTATATTGACAGCAATTTGTAAGCAAAAC